CTATATGACTGTATCGTACAGATATTCAAAGAACATGTCATATGAGCAGAGCGATCGGAGAAATTTTTTAGGCACACAAAAATGTAAATCAAAGTTCATTGAATCAGCCGGAGCGCTACCATATGCACGGGAAGCGAAGTTCAAAAATAAGCGTGTCATTTTTCGAGGCATTGCATTCAAAGAGCGAAAGCGAAATGAATTTTCTGAGTAAATAAGCGCGTGGTTTTCATAGCATGCTCCCATCAATGCCGAGCAAACACAAATATTTGCAACAAGAATGAATCGATAGAACGATGTGGCTTCTAACACCTGTTGCCACTGCTATTTTTTATTTACTAGAAAAAACCATGCGAGCGTTTTTAGCACCGACTGTGAGTAAGCGAAGTACATAAACCGGTCGTAGGCATTAGTGGCAGCGAACCATAGCGACCTCTGTCGGAGGTGATCGCTATTGTGCTCGCAGTGGGAGGTTGCGCAAGCTGTGTCAGTCACTCGTAGAATGTCCTCGAACGTAATGGCAGCTACTGAATTTCGAAAGAAAGATGTTTTTTTCATGAAAATATTAGGTTGGCCCAAAAGTTCTTTCGCACCAAATTTAAAAATTTATAACTTCTGATTTTTCCAACCGATTGGACTGCTTTTATTTTTGTATTGAAGAGTAAGTCATGCTCTTTATAAAGACATCTCAGATGCTTACTAATGATCATCTGTTGCATAGATAGGAGCGATAGAAGAAAATTGGTCAAATTCGAATTTTTCGTGTACGATCATAAAAAATTGGAAACTTGCAACAAAAATCGGAGCAGTCAGTATTGTAGGTTCTTTTACCAGCTCTTTCTAATGGTGCAAAGTTTGCGCCGATTGAGCGTCTCTATGAAAAGTTACGATTTTCGAGCAAGCAATACACTATTCTCGATGATGACGGGCACACCCTACTCTCATCTTTAGACAAGGCTAATGCTTTAGCTGAATGTTTCGCAAGTGCTTATACTAGCACTTGCCTGAACATTTCCCAGATCGATTCTTTAACCGGTAGTGTGTTTCCCAACCCAGTTTTCTCTCACGCTGAAGTTTACAAACTTTTGAAAGCGATCAAACCCTCGATGTCATACACTTCCGAAGACATACCTGGTTTCTTCTACAAGAAATGCGCTAAAAGCCTTTCCTTGCCTCTAACGCATATCTTTAACATTTCTTTAATGACTGGGAATATTCCAAGAATCTGGAAAAGAGCTATGGTTGTGCCCATACCTAAGTGTGCATGTGCAAAAAAGGTTTCCGAGTTTAGGCCAATTAGCATTTTGCCTACGCCCTGTAAGATCATGGAGAAAATCCTGGCAAAATCTATCCTAAAATGGTGCTTAGAAAACCACTTTTTACCCGATGAACAACATGGTCATACCCGGCTCCTCTACATCTACACAACTGGTAAAATGTTGCCAAGATTGGATTATGGCACTTAGTGAAGGCAAATCAGTTGATATCATTTATTTCGACTTAAGTAAAGCATTCGATTCTGTCAATCATACTGGGCTTCTCATGAAACTTGAGAGCATAGGCGTTAGAACCAATCTTTTGAATTGGTTCAAATCATACCTATCTGAACGGACCTTTGAAGTTCTTTTCCGAGGTCAAAAGTCTACAGCAAAACCCTGTACGTCAGGTGTTCCTCAAGGAAGTGCTCTCTCCCCACTATTATTTAACATCTAACCATGGAACTACCAAATGTATTGAGAATTGATTCTCGTATTAGTGTAGCAGCTTACGCTGATGACATTAAAATCTATGGTAGTTACGATAACAATGATAGTCCAGTAATACGCGAAAAGTTGAAATTGTCTGTTCATCAAATGCTGCAATGGGCTAAAGAATGGGGAATCAAAGTTAATTCATCCAAAAGTCAGATACTGAAATTAGGCGCAGATTCGACTATGTTCGATTATGGAATTCCCTTACAAGTTCAGCAAAATGTTAAGGACTTTGGAGTGGTTGTTGATTCCTCTTTCAAATATTCATTACACATTGATAATATTGTTTGCAAGGCCAAACGCACAATGTACACCTTACTAAGAAACGTACATGTACATGATATCAACATCTGTCTGAAACTCTGGAAAGCTTACGTACTTCCTGTCTTGGAATATTGCAGTCCAGTTTGGAATCCTGATGTCAAAAAAGTGATCGAAAAATTGGAAAAAGTTCAACGTACTTTCACTAGAATCTTATTCTACCGAATATTCCCAAATCCTGATTACCCACAGGCTCTTCCTGATTATAAAACTAGACTAACCATGCTAGGACTCAAAAGCTTATATCACAGGAGGTTATTAGCTGACATATTGCTAGCATACAAGATCTTCAAATCTGAAACACGTTTGAGATTTTCGGACTTCTGTATTTTACGTCCCACTAGTATCCGTCGTTTTAGAATTAACGCCTACACACATAATTCCAAAGGATGGCGAAAACGTAGCCTACAGAATTCATTTGGTGCCCGCATGTGTCACATACTGAATAAACTTCCTATGGATGGAACTAGTAACCTTGGATGCACATAAATTAAGGAAATTCCTAATCGAACATAATTACCTTGACAAATTTAGTTCACATTGTATTTAACTTCTCTGTTTGAATTTTTTGTCTCCCTATGATTACGTTCCTTTACTACTGCATTTTTCAAAGCATGTTTCGGGAGACGAAATGCAAGTGATAGTTCTTTATTCGCATCTACTTTCATATCGTATCCTTTTTCCTTTCTCGTCGATTCTGACTCCTCTCAATTGTACAGTTCAAGAAAATCTCCCAATATATCGATAACAAGGAAACTACTACTTACTCACGATTGTATTAAAGAACCCTGCTAATTGATTTTTATGTACTTCATCTAGACAACTCAATGCACATTATTGGAAGCTTTGAACTCGCACATCAATCAGCATTTCGTTGCTCAAATATGGAGTTAGTGAAGGAACCAACGGACACATGTATGTATGTATGTATGTATGTATGTATGTATATGGATGGATGGATGGATGGATGGAATGGACGATTCGATGGATGGATTGATGGATGGACGGTACATCTTGTACTTGAAAATGACCTGCTACAAGTAATACTTCATAACACTTCATTATTTTGAGCGCAATACATACTACTTATGCTGATCGCTATGCATATGTTCGAAGCTCCTGATAATGTGCAAGAAATCCATTGATATTTTTTGAGACCCGATTCATAACACCATTGCCATCCAATTTACTCTACATTATTTACCTTCAAACACCATCAAATACATACTTTCCCCAGAAGTTACACTTACAACAACGTCATTCGCGCCTTATCAGCAGCCCATGAGCTTTTCCTCTTCCTGAACTTATATAAGAACTCTATAAGATTTGTTATTCGGATACGACTCGAAAGTGAGAGCAAATTCAAAATCATTCTTGCCTTTTTCTCCCACCCCGTTCCATATTTATTTACCTGTCTGTATCGCATTTATGAGGTGGTGCATCGTTTACGATGTATTTGATAAATAAATAAATACAAAAGGGCGAATTTGATTTACTTTGGCATTTTTCAGGGAAATCGTAACCTTTTATAGAAACGCTCAATCGACGCAAACTTTGCACCATTAGAAAGAGCTGGTAAAACAACCTACAATACTGATGCTCCGATTTTTGTTGCAAGTTTCCGATTTTTTATGACCGTACACGAAAAATTCGAATGTTGACCAATTTTCTTTATCGCTCCTATCTATGCAACAGATGATCATTAGTAGGCATCTGGGATGTCATTATAAAGAGCATGACTTACTCTTCAACACAAAAATGAAAGCAGTCCAATCGGTTGGAAAAATCAGAAGTTATGAATTTTTAAATTTGGTGAGAAAGAACTTTGGGGCCAACCTAATATACTGAAACATGAAGAAAAATAGATTACAACGCAGACTTTTATGCACTGCAAATGTCTAAGTGGGCAACGCCTGATGTATTGCAAAAGAAAGTCGGGATATAATTTACCATTTTTTTTTAGACTAGGAGACTCGGAAACTGCTTTGCACACATCGTATAAACAAGCTTGAACTCGTTCTTACTTGATTTCACATGATAGAAATGCTAGATAACATAGATCCCCAGTATAAACTTGTTAACTACATGATCAACCTTGTCCAGACAAAACTAGCAAAGTGTAATCGAGTCTTGTCTCAGAACGTGGTACGATGCCGCTCATAGTTAATCAAAAGTCGCCGAAGGTCTACCGGATTTCACCGAAACTCGCGTCGCATCGCCATATCTTGGTTCAAAGTGTACGTATTACATTCAAGGGCACCGCCTAACTCAGCTCGGTGAGGCGCTCATTCTAAATGGCAGTGCCCTTCTGTATGTGGTAAGCAGTCAGATCTCAAATTTCTGCCTATGGTAGTTCTATGTATCGAAGATGCGCCTCACCAAGCCGAGCTGGATGGTGCCTTCGGATTCAGCATTTATCAACTCTGAACCAAAACATGGCGATGCAACGCGGAATTCGGTGAACTCTGCTGAAGCTCGGTGACTTTCAGAAAGTGACATAATTCAGAGAATTCTCACCTCCTTTGCGTAGCTACTGCATTACGACTCCACATATCAGAATATACTTGTCATATCATGTCCATACCTTTGCTACATAGCACTCTTAAAAAAAGCACTCCCACACTTTCTAACTAGACTGTGCATTTCGGAAAAAACGCGCACACCGATTTGTCTACAGAAATTATGTAGACACAGAAGATTTCAAATAAATGGATACTCTTTATTACCACTAACTAGTTATAAAATCAATAGTTTGATTATTATGACCATAAACTTTATCTTTAACGTTATCTGGCAATCTAGATCATTGCAGAATATATCACAGGAGCAAACCGTTAACATGAAACAAGAAAAAAGCTATTTAAAATCACATACATTTACCCATCTGAAGTGTTAGACAATGAAATTAACGTCAAAAGAAAAAAACAGCAATTAGACCACACAAGGCAACTGCTTGATAATCGCTCAAAGAACTTTGAGACCAAAAGGTCTGCAAGAAAGCAAATACTTGTACGGAGATTTAAAAAAAACTTAGGAATATCTAGAATTCACGTTCGGCCAATTATCACAGCGTTTACGGTCCAATAATTATTTTGTCGTGCACTAGATGTTCGCCAAGTTATCTCGAAACAATTCCATCCAGAATTTTTTCGTATGAAGTTTTTGCAGCTCGAAATCAATTGTACATACGTAGGGTCATCAAAGAAGAAATTACTAATCAGCTTTTTTATAATTTGTCATATCCACTTCAGGTGTCAAGCTCTCTTCACCCCAACCCCAATCACTTGACTGCGTATTATTTTCTTCAACATCACTAAACGGCGGACTTGGAGCAGTTTCAACAAGTGCTGGAACATCATCAGTTACTGCATTTTTGATAGTAGTATCCACCAGCGGCTGTTGCAACTCAGCCTTCGGATTAGTACTATCTGCAGCTTCCTTCTCCATTTCTTTCTCCACAATGTTATCCTCGCTCTCATCATCTCCAAGTTCGAAATGAATGGAACTTGAATTTTGGTCAGGAGGCGAGCACATGGAAGTATCCGAAAGTGCAGAAGCCACGTCTGCTTGTGATCGTTTGGCTTCAGTAGTAACTGGTTCTTTCGTTTCATTGCTAGGAATGTTCAGAATCTCCAAATCAGGCACAATTCTCTCTTGCATAAGTTCGTCAAGTGCCTGCTGAATGCTTGCGCAACCCTGACAAGAAGCTATCAACTCCTTCATGTTCAGCTCGGTGAATGAATCCTGCAAAATAAATCATTGCCAATAAAAGCATGGGAATTGCACCTCACTCCGCCCACAATTAGTGAAAAAAGTCACCGAACTCCGCCAAAGTTGACCGAAAATCGCGTCGCATCGTTACATCTTGCTTCAGAGTAGACAAATTCAGTATCCAAGGACGTTCAACCCAGTTCGGAAAGGCGCACCTCATGATTTTTAGAAGTTCCCGTTTGGATGAGAAGGTAGTCAGATTTCACAAATCCTTTTAGATCTTTGGCTACGGTAGGTTACTCAGTATGCAGTAAATAAGCGCACTGCTATGGTAACCTACCATAAGCAACTCAGCCTATTTTTGAAATGTGAATGCCTATCTTGCTCATATCGCACCCAAACAGGTTCATTCTTTGAATAGATGGTCTCACTAAGCTGATTTGAACAACGCCCTTGAACTCCGACTTCGTCTACTCTGAACCCAAGACATGGCGATGCGACGCAAATTTCGGTGAACTCCGGTGAAGTTCGATGACTACTTTGAAAAATTGTGAGCAGCATGAATTGTTCAGCTGGGACTACAAATACTTCACTCATTAGCTTTCTTTGCATATGTGAGTAGAACCAATGTGTTGATAACGAGAAAATTTTTCTTAAAGGCAGCGTCCAGGCAAACCTGGATATAGGGCTCTCACGTGCATAATAATCTTGGGGCCCGAACTAAGCCACTGTCCAGGCGGCAGCTCAGGTAGTGGCCTAACGGTTAAGATATTCGTCACGAAAGTGGACCCCGGAAACGTATTTCGCATGGCATGGCGCAACCCATGGGTCCTCGCGCGAATTTTGTGGTTTGCGCCACGAGTCCATGCGAAATACAATCCCGGGGTCTAGTTTCGAGGCGAATATCTCAGCCGTTAGTGCACGACCTCAGCTGCCGGTTGAGCAGTGGTTTAGTTAGGGCCCCAAGATTACTATCCAAGTGAGAGTCCCCACAGCCCAGATTTGCCTAAACGCTGCCTTTAGTACAGCACTATAAGAAATGAAGATAACTATGACTCACGTAGATCTGTGGACTTAACGTTGTTCCAAACAGACGAGTTATCCCAGAATATGGGAACAAGAATCGAATGCAATGGTTGAGAAATGGAACAAAGTGGAAACTAAGGATCTCAACAGCCTTTTTGAAGTGTGAAGACGATGACTGGCCAGAAAGCCATATCAATATGCTGCGTAAAGATTCCCTTACACATAGTACTATATTTTGGATCTGCAAAAGTATATATCAGTGAGAAAACCGGAATAGATCAAGCACATACCAGCATAGGGCTTGGAGTATAGCGCAACCCATTCAAAGCTTCAACTACTGCGTTACCATACACGCAAATGTCGTCCCACAGAGATACTTCAGGGGAAGGTTGTGGAGGCTTACTAGCGTCCATCGGTTCATTGTCTAACGCCAATGATGACAATTCACCACTAGCAATGGAGAGCACTTTTGTATCGTTCAGGAACCTGCCAGTCATCGATGAAAAAGTGGCCATCGACATATGGAAAGAAAAAATACGAACGTATTGGTTGCCATTCGGATAGCAGAGGTGAATCGCTCCAAAACTATCTTGATGAGGGAATCGACGACAAGTGCACGAAAATCAAGACCCATTCGACCCAAAGATGCAGCCAAGGACATAAGCTTAGACCATACAGTACACATATCAACGCTACTTCTAAATCAGCATCGCGTGTAGCATTCAAAAAGTTTCAAAGTTGCGATGTCGGAAGAAGTAATTTTCATATACATAGATGAAACTGCCACGTACTTCATGTCCGCTCTCCGTATGATATCCAGTAACCGAGTGATGTTTCTTGCCGTCCACTGTCCAAGAACCGACGACGGGGCGCTTGAAGGCCATGTTTCCCACCTCGGATCCAAAGACAACTATAAATAGAATGCTTTGTGACACTGAGATCATAACTGAGCTTTTATAATGAGGATAAGTGAACTTCTATGACGAAACTCACATCTTTGCGCATCGTCTCGTTTTCTGGGAAAACAGCAAGATACAGCACGAGCGTATCATACATGCAATCCCTATAGATTTCAATAGCACGAATTGCAAATTCGGGATGGTTCTATAGACGGTTGATTTACAAAACCTCAGCAGTGAAAAGAAAAGCTGGAAACCCACCGTGATATCGAGGATTTGACGATCTAAATACATATCTCTATGCTGCAGAATGCAAACTCGCAGTTGCGTAGGGGTAAGATATGGCATTTTTCGCACATTATTGACAACCTAAACAAGAAAAAAATGAGAAAAACAGAGCTTGAGGGTAGCTACGAACGATTTGCTTACCTGTATGGAAGAAGCGAGATCAAGAGGGCCTGAAAACTTGTTGAACAGCTCCTCGAGAAGAAATGCTCTTGCTTCCACCAGTTTGTCAGCGATACCCTAAACCAAAGCCGCGGTAGGAGAGAATGAGGCCTTTCAACCTTACTTTGACTAAAGGATTCTTTATGATGGAATGTTGCTGAAGCATCATACCGTAATTTGTAAGTGAATATGCAGCCTCATAATAACCGGCACGGATGCAAACGTCCATTCTCTAGGAGAAATAGAAAGACTTTCCAAAGAAAAATGGGAAAATCAGAAAAAGAAGCATGTTAGCTTACTGAAGGAAGCGAGAGAAGTTCCCATACTGGACTATCCTTTTCGCAGGCGGACTTGACAACTTCCAATTCTTTACAGACATCTTTTGTACGAGTATGAAAATCACGGAGTTCCACAGCCAACTCCGGTATTTCACCGCTCACAACGCGCAGCTTGTCTTTCATCTCGGTAAACTAGAATCGTGCAAACATTTTTCAAGTTGTAGTGAACATGAAAGAAGCTTACAATCTCTGTACAGTGCTGAGTGGTCCTGCCAGCATCTGCGTACGTCCGATAGTTGTTGAATGCCAGATCACCTATCTGATCTTGCAGAGACTTCAGATCGTTTGATATCAAACTCCTCTCACGTCCTAGAAAGATAATGAAGATTACTGAATTGCCGCAGCCAGTTTTATCGTATCTTTCCCAATATCCCAAAGCATTTTCTAGCCCAAAAAGCAATTGACATCTAAATGAAGACCATTCAATCAACAGGAGAGTTATAGAATATGAAATTAACTTAAAAAAACGCATGAAAAACTGATTATCAGATCGAGACTTGCCAATTTCGAGTACATGGGCCGTTTCCCACAAGATCAGACTAAGCTATTCTTTTTTGCTTTTTCCTTATGATCAGACTTAGTTGTGATATTAGTCAGAACTGGAGAGAAAACCCATCGAACTTACTGAGTTGTTCTGATCCCATGGATCTGAGCTCATCCTCGATCATGAACTGTGACGGTAGATCCATACCGAACTAAGATGTAAACCTGAAGAAAAAACACGGCTTAGCACGACCTTTGCAACCGAGGTGGTCTCGAATTTCCATTTCTTATGCGATTTGAGCAGTATACACGCCATTCATGTATTCTAAACTGTGTTTACACGCAAGACAAGAACTAAAAGTCCTCAAAAAAAAGGAAAACTTCAAGTGTTTGTGAATTCAAAACTAATTTCGTGCTGCCAGCTGGAAAAAATTCTAGTCCAAACGCGATTCCCTGTCCGCGATGGCGCGCAAATGGAATTGGAGCGCGAAAGCTTTCCATTGAGTTTTTTTTTCGCAGAAAAATTATCCAAGTTCTTTTGCTTTCGGATGGTACCGGTGATGATAATGCCGTTGACGTGATTGCTTTCGGATTCGTTCTGCATAGTATATATCTCTCATATTTGGCTCTGCTGATTAGCTGTTTTAACTTTTACTGTAGTTTTGTCTTCTTAATAAAGTTTTTCTTTGGCCATAGATCCTCGTCATGGATTTACCTCCATTTCGGTATTGTGAAATTCTAGGTTCATGGCTGACGGTGAAGAGTTTTCTACATCTGCTCTTTATCGAGACAATCCGGAATGGGCAGACGTGCAGCCGATTTATCCTACGAAGGAGGAGGAAGGTGCAGTTCGTATCGCTGTCAGTGAGCAATGTGAGTACTGCTTTTGCTTAGCAACTGTGCGACTATCTGCAAAGTATCCTATCTTTGCAGTCAGAGATGCGTTTGCTTATTTTCGTGCCGTTCTTGCTTCGGGAGAAATGTCTTCTCGCGTTTTTCTGCTCACTGAGGATTGCATCCAGTTGAACCCTGCAAATTACACTCTATGGTGAGTATTTTGGATCAAGTAGGCTTTCACCATCCACTTAAATCTAAGGGGTTGGCGAGATCCTTATGCGGTAAGGCCTTGACCAAAATGCCCAAAAGGTTGAAAAAGATGTATTTCGAGAAGCGAAAATCACTCCAGCAGGTGGGATGCGGGGTTTTCGCCCATCAGTCGGTGGCCTAAATAGTGAGCATGAAACTGAACCAATTGTCTAATATCAAAAAACTACGTGCTGTTTTGGAAGATTCGACATTTCGCACTTTAGCCGGCTTTGATGCCTACACTACCTTCACAGCACCTACAGCTCAGTGGGCGTGGCGATCCCTGCCGCATCTCCCTTTTAGGAGCGATTTTTTCGAATTAGTTTACACTTCCTGCAGCAGGAGCGGCTGCTACAGAGCTAGCAGCGTCTGCGTATCGTTTCAAAATCGAATCAACGTCAATTTGAGCGCACGGTGCCTTCGGTCATTCGAAGTAGTATGGCCAACAGAATGATCTGACAAGGGAACGATCCCAACTTAAGGTGGCGAATTGGAATGAACCGCATATTATTAGATGCGTCTTGATGAGCTGATTGCAAAACTACCTTCCATATCTGCGACAACGTTATCTGGAAGAAGTTATGAAAGGTAAAAAACGTGAAGTAATGGGGCTTTTAGTGCATATTTCGCTTCGAAATCAAACTTGGGAGTGTATGACTAGCATAATATTGAGTGTACTGATTTCAAGGAATGAAATCAGTACAAGGAATGTTTCAAGGAATGCTCACACTCTAAAGAAACACAAATAAGTGTTTTTGTACAACTAATTTTTGAGGTCGCTTATGTATATTTGCCAAATTTGGACTTTTCATTGCTCATAGCTTTTACCAAAAAACTTTAGTTGCTTTTTAGCTGTTCAAAAACATTTTTTTTTGCGTTTCTTTTGAATGTGAGCATCTTTTGCAATCAGTACACTCAATATGACGCTAGTCGTGCACTTCCAAGTTGGGTTTTAAAGCAAATTATACATCAAAACCCCCGTTACTTCACATTTTTAATCTTTCATAACTTCTTCCAGATAACGTTGTCGCAGATGTGGAAGGTAGATTTGGAATCAGCTCATCAAGACGCATCTATTGGTATGCGGTTTATTCCAATTCGCCACCTTAAGTTGGGATCGTTCCCTTATGAGAAGCCTATCATCTTGACAGCTGCATACAATGTATAATTAATGGCATTCCTCCATGAACGGGAATCTGAGCTCAAATGTATACCACTGCAGAATCCTATGTATCACAAGTGTCGTGCAAACCCCCCTCCCCATCCCGTCTTGAAAGTGTGATTTGATTAATGTCCCTTATCCCAGGCAATTTCGTCGCGAACTGCTCAAAAAGCTTGATGTTGATCTTTCGAAAGAGCTCAAATATCTGGACGACATCATCATGCAAACCCCTAAAAATTACCAGGTTTGGTGGGTTGCGTTATATGCTTCTGATTCCTTTCCATTTTTTTCAGCTTTCAAATTTCTGCCACTACTTTTACTTGTCTTGACCTTTGTGATTTCTTTATTTTCATTCGATTTTTATTACCTTTGCGAGTTGCTGTCTTGTCCTCTGAATTTTCCTCTCACGTGGCTTTTAGGCACAAAAAACGGAAAACGGATACATTCATTTTCCAATAAATATGATTGTGAAACAACCGCTTTTGCGTACTTTATGTTGCACAATGAGGCTGATACGAGTATCATATCTTGTTCAGCGATGACCTTATTTTGATTATACCTGATCACTAAGTCATCTCTCAATCCTTATAGGCATCATCGCAGATGTGTTGTTGAATGGATTGGTGCATCTGTTGCTGAGAATGAACTCACATTCACTGCTCAAGTAATAGAAGACGAATCTAAGAACTACCATGCATGGCAGTACAGGTATAAAATCAACCATATTTAACAATACCCTTGTTTCAAGATCTACTGTTCTAGGCAGTGGATCTTAAGACACTTTGTTTTCACTGGCGAGAATGCGGAGAAGGGAGTTGAAAAAGAGTTGGCGTTTACTTCAAAACTCCTCTTTGAGGATCCTCGCAATAATTCTGCTTGGAATAATCGCTATTTCGTCCTGCAAACGAACAACAAGTTAGGCGACCCAAAGACTTTGGAGAATGAAATTACGTGAGTCGATTATTGAGTTTCGGTTGTATGAATTTACTGATACAATCAAGATTTTAGGTTGGTGAAGCGCTTCATCGAAAAAATGCCTCATAATGAAAGTGTTTGGAATTATTTAGCAGGGTGAGAAAATAACTAGTAAAGCGATTCAGTATACCCTGAGAATTTATAATGCTCAGATTACTCCTTCACAATGGCTTATCATCACGTGTGGATGTCGTAGATTTTGTTGAAGATCTCTATGAACGGACCGAAGCTCCTAAAAGAGCCCCATACATGGTAAGCTTTGTCGATATGTATTTCATAGGTTGCGATCTTCTTTTGCAGATTTCTTTTCTCTGTGATATCTTGCTTGAGAATATCGAGAATGATATCAATGCAGCAGAGAATTGCAAAAGAGCCAAAGAGGTGAGCTTTCATAACTTGATATAAGCGGGATGATAATTTCAGTTCCTTTTTCTACACCCATGTGACTATCTTTGCTCTAGAACTGATAACTAAAGGCAGTGGTTCGGCAAATCCTCGACCTGAATTTTTTTTCGCTTACCTGGGGCATTTCGACGCGCTGGTTTTGAAAATACACTCTGAAGAGCACGAAAATGTCGAAAACCAGCATTTTCCAAGGGTTCTTATTTTGAATTTGGACGAGCGGACCACTCTCCGCTATGGTTAGAGACGTAGAGTTGCGGGACTCCCATGTGTATCGCACTGCGGCATGCCGCCTCTAACGGTGGGGGGGGGGCCGCAAGCTCGTCCGAGCGCGTGTAAAAATGGCTTACGCGCACGGGCTCGGGGTCAGTTTTCTAGGCAGGGGCAGCATGTAGTGCGCTCGGACCTGCTCTGTTCGGATGTTTGGGATGCAGGCAACCTTCCATATCAAAATTTCGAGATGTGTTTTGTCGAGCCACTGCCTTTAAGGCAACGTTTTAGTCGTTTTTTTTTATCTATCATGTGCTCAGTAGCATTTGCAAAACTATATCTTTGTATACTTGAAACGATCGGTGAATGAATTACTATACGAGGAGAGTTTTTTGTTAAATTTTTTTATTTGGATTGCACTATCTGTTATTCCAGCTGTACAATGAACTCGTTTTGCTGGATCCCGTTCGCTCAAACTATTGGAAGTACCAAATGCGGGTTGCTGACAACCTGCTGGAGAGGAGAGGTTTCAAAACTGTCGCGAAGTGATCTACACGAGACTGCAGTGATTGAGCGGTGCAGCACGTTGTTATGATCTTTATAATTTCTTTGCATGTTTAATTTACTTTCCGCCATACCGGTACATATAATCCGTATTTTGTACGTTCAATAAAAATGTTCCAATTATCATGTGTGATGTCAAGTCTGTAATCGGCTAGCTACATCTATCTACATTTTTTTGCGTCAAAGGATTATGTGAACATTTAGAATGCAGCATCGTGACCTTGGACACAAGGTTTTGGTAGTGCTGGATCATGGCTCCAGATTCGCCAAGATGGCTGCAAACGTAGGCTCTAATTGAAGTTCAATTTTATAAAATGAATTCCCTCTTTACAGCCATTCAGCGTTACTCTCAAGGAATCAAACGTCAATCGAGTGGTAGGTTCCCGTTTTTGTGCAAGCTCACATCCCTAAAAATCACCTTTCAGGTGGGAGCATGTGATAAATCACTTTGGACATGGTGTCTTGAAGCAACACTTGAGTTGCATCGTGTTGTTTTCGACCTCTTTTCTGGTGAACATGACAACTCTCATGCTCGTCTTATGCGGCTCGTGTTGGCAGACTGCGTTGGGAGAGTATTGCAGCCTCGTTGGGGTACAGAAATTGTCACGCAGCAAGAAGTGAGCTTCATTTCATTCTCGTAGATCCTAAACATTTTTTTATTTGATCTTTTTGTTCTGATTCGCACTTCATAAAATGGTCATTATTTTTTCTTCATTATCCATTAACCAATAGAAGATCTACAAAGAAGAAGTAGTTAGTCAAAGTGTCTTTTAGGGTAGATGAAAACTGTTTTGGAGGGCATGAGATGCTGTTTCCAGGTCTGTCTTCCTTATCTGCACAATTTTGGACGAGGACCTATAAGCACTCGCTGAAGCCAAGTATACTGAATGCGCGGGGCGGAGAGCCTAAAATCAGTGTAATTTTCCCGATTGAATGGGAGAGAAGGGGGGAAGGGGGGTGGCAGTGATAACTGAGGGCATTCCATGCAAAATACTCTTAATTCGAATATAGCTGCATTTATCTTTTCCTCATTTGAGCTGGGAAATTTTGCGAGTGTTTCCATCCTGTTAGTGAATTCAACTTTTTGCTTCACTAACTCTCCCACCCCCTCCCTCTCCACCTCCGACTGCACGTCCAAAAACGTTCCGTAGATAGGAAAAGCAAACCTGGAGTCAGTAAATGTGCCCTTTACGACAGTATACATCTCATCTTGGAAAGCTACTACAGCTGATCATCATTCCCTTGAATCTGGCGAAGTGTGGCATCTTGTGTCTCATTATTTTCACGAATTTATAAGAATGATCGTCTCTGCATCGTTCTTCTAGCTATTTTTTGAAGTGAAGCCAAGTCCTCCTGAAAACATCCAATTTAGATTCTGAATTCACTTTCGAGCATCGGGCTACCATCAACCAGTGACGACACCGATGGCGTAACTCTCAGTGGAATAACGCTTGCTGTAGAGGCTCTTAGTCAACTCAGCGATGCGCAGATGAACGGTGACGCTGTCCATCCCGCTGACAAAAGTTTGTTGCTCATTTCTCTTGGAATCATTATTGGTATTTCTTTTGAAATTCACATGATTCGTTTTGCATCTAGAAGAGAAAACGGTCACAAAAGAAAGGACAAATTTTTCTCGAATGCCTAAATGCTGGGAGACACCCTCTACGTCTTCGGAAGTTGTCGACTCGGAGCGCAAAGTTGTGGAGAATGCCGGATCTATAGTTATTTTCACATCTTTCACCGAGTAAGAGTCCGTCTATGCAAGTTGCGCACTAGAGAAGTTTAGTTTTGTTTATAGAGCTGAGCGTTTGACCGAGTTGGAACGCGAGGTCGCAGACGTGATCAGATGCCGAAATAAAATCATCAAATCTCTACAGGATAGCTCGTGAGTTGAAAAATGGTCCATTTCCGCTTGCTTTTTTGTTCTTTGTCGCTCAGGCGGCGTATTATTCCTTACTTCAGGTTTTCTTGTATCAGTCATGTGAAAATGTACATCATCAACGTTCTTCCTAAGGATCATCAGTGCGGAGACTTATCGTCATTCAAAGAAGTGAGAACTGTATGTTCCACAAAGTCTCTATCTATCTTTTGTGCTGTAGGTGACTCGTAGAGATAGTGCGCGACATCAGGACTTGTTCTAATTACCTGAATATGACGATAATTGTTGACGGATAAGCGATACAAGAACAAATTTTGTCAAATTGTTATGAAGAAACTCTAATTAGATTCATATTATGTTGCAAACTTTCAGATCACCCCTGAATTATCCTCTTGTATTTATTCTCGTCCAGCTGGAGATGATCTTATTTCGGTTATCCATTCTGTTGCTATAGATATCTATGATTTAGTCTCAACAACAGTCTCCGGCATCCCTATGAAGGTTAGCTTCGTTTCAGTTACTCTACAGTATTGTCGTTTTTGTATATTTGTGTTGTCCTTCTATTTCTTTTTATGTGGTTAAAGTGACTTGTATAATTTGCTGTAAAAAATGCCATTTTACATCAGCATTCTCGTTTATGCTTGCTGCGCTCATCAAGTCCAAATTTGACAGTTCTAGGAGGAAGCACAACAAGGGCAGTCTGCGGTTGCTATAAATTACGATGTTGAGCTTTTGCACAGTAGAGAGGTGCACATAGAACTCGAGCGGTTGGGATTAGTAGTGGGAAATACTATGAAGAACGGTAGAAGTTTTTCATAATATATCATCGACAAATTGGGGCGCTTAACTCTTTTATTTTCAGATATCACGGGAACATTAATGGTATATGCTGAAAATTCTACATATCCTACTGCACGTCTCGTTTGGTCTACACCAATGCCGAAAGGGCGTTGGAATATGGTGAGTTGTCTTTCATCGGACCAGATGAATTCATTGTTTTATTTGTTTGGATATAGGATGTGTCGTTCTTGTAATTTTAGTTCCCCCGCAGTCGTCATGTCTCTCGAGTGACGCCTTCAGCAGTAAATAGTCGACCATCTGTTTGCCTTTCTTCATATCTTCTTCAAGGGCGCAATGTCATGCTTGAGATCACGGTTAGTGGAATAGCAATTGGTCGTATTCTCTGCGATTTCGCTAAACCTCAGTCGTATCTCGATTTGGCAAATTAGCAAATGTTTACAATATGACATCAATTTGCATAGGCGCATAGCTTTTGTGAGCTGATGCAAACTTGGCAATTCTTGCTCACACAAAATGCGTTCGCAGAATCGTGAGCAATCGTAGCGATGTCAAGTCGCGCAGCAATTAAAATCGCCAGAGGTATGACCAATATATAACGCTCTTTTTAACAACAGGTTGGCGACAAAGATCTCGGAGATTCTCAGGTTGAAATTATTCGGGAACTTGGGAAAGGCTAGGGTTGCTAGGGAGTTTGCCTATTTTCGGTTGACTTGTTAATTTTTTTTTCGGCATGTACATCGACATATGTGTTCACCATTCTATACATTAGGACATATAAGATACTTTTTTCAAAAATTATATTTTATGGCTATGTTTCTGTTTTGTTCCAAAGGAAAAACGTTGACTATGTTTATGCTTAGTTTCATTTTGTAACCTTATATCAATTCATAAATATGGTGCATGCCCCTATTAGTTGTCCCAACGATACTAAAACTTTGTTGAAAGTACGTCCGAGGCTTCCCTGCTAGCCTTGTACTTTTATATTTAGCGCGTACCCAGATGCGAGGGGATTTTGTCGAATGTGGGAGCCAAGCTGATCGCACACACATTGATTGCTCATGGTGGACACATTTATATCCATGCTAATGACGTGGGAACTCACAGTGAGTTTGATTACTGTTGATTTGTTTATGAAAGGTGTTTATGCAGTTTTTGATTTAAACGATTTTAATCAGAAAACGGAAGATTTGGGAAAAGCGAGTTTTTTGTATTTTTGATTTGTAACATTCTAGGCGTACCAAAATCAGAATACTTGAGTTAGTGCACCTGTTTTGTAAATTGTGTAGAATCTGTGTTTGTTACCTTTCTGGCTCTTACTCGAATATGTTTGCTGAGACATTTTACTTCATTCAGTTAGGATAGCATTGTGAGCAAAATTCTTATTGCGATGGTCAATCCAGCCATTTAGGTGTGTTGGATTGCCCAACAATTCGCGATAAGTCACAACTCAAGAAGACTGCTCATGGGCGCGTAGCTGACTTTGCTTCGCTCATCAAGGAGAGTTCACTGCACCTTGTAGAACCAGGCAAGGAAACGGAAAAATTGCCGGTTTGTCCTTATTTTACTATTGATTGTGATATTGGGAACAGTGAATATCACAACACTATTGATTAAGGTAACCTCCGCTGCTTCTTGCTATCAGCCTCGGCGGCAACTACTGCGAATAACCCGCTACTGGCCCTTGCGTTCAGATCAGTGCTACATCTACAATATACCGAAGGTACACTTTCTAGAATTGTTAGAATTTCCCTCTCGTTCAAACTTACCATACATTTGTCAGTCAGGTTAGGCTGTAGGTAGGAAATCTATTTCCAAGCTCTGTATTGTCATCTTCATCTTTTTATCCATCATTTTTTACTTTTAGCGTTTCGATGCGCTTTTTAACATCTTGCGGCAGCCCCACTTGTCAACGGTAGATGCAGATAAATGTAAACAGGTGTGTAATTTTGGCTTTTTCTGTGTAGAAAATCACGTTCGGTTTTAGGTCATTCATCAGTTAGTCGCCCTGAAGGACTCCAGAGAACGCATAGGCGAGCCCAGTATGTCTACACAGTTGTTGAAAGATGGAAGCTCTAGGTGGGTTATCTTGGGATATAAGATGAATTCCGTATACAGGGTATAAACTTTGTTTCAAGTGATTATACAAGCCGCTATCCTTGCAACTTTCTGGTAAAATGAAAGATTGCATTACCAGAAAGTTGCATTGGAAAATTGACCTTGTGCTAATACGAATTATTTGCTGTACAATGTAGCACTCAAGCCATCGCCGTTTTCCAGGGATGAACAACTGAAAGTCGTCTACTTGGAAATGGCAAGACATCTGGGAAACTACATGAATCACTCTGAAAAGCATTCCGAGGTGAGCCCATTTTAAAGTTTTCTGATGTGAATGTGCCAATTTTTTGACTGAAAATTTCTTGTTATTTAGATTTTCTACCTTTTTCTTCAAGCCACTAACCTAGAACGTGCGATCAAAATGTCTACTGCTGATGTGTCAGTAGTTGACCGTAATCGGTAAGTATGTGCTTGTAAAGTGACACTTTCGACAGACACTATCTAGCCTTAACTCTCCAGAGGTTTTCTGCTTAATAATGAAATTGGGGTCCAAAATTTTCTGCTGTTTTGATTTTGATTTGATAGATACCAAGTTTTAGGTCTAAACGACAAGAGACCTCTGGTTCCAATTTCGCTGTTGCGTCAGCGTCCGCCATATCAACGGCTGCAAGTGAAGTACGAAATCTGAGCAGAAGCAACTCACCGTTGCCTAAGAAACCACGAAAATCGATCTATCTTTGGAAACCAAACGGTATGCCTTATACGAGCCCGATGTGTGGTATAGACCCATAAAATTCTACGAAACTATAAGAAATAGTTATGTATTTTTAGAAACCCTAAATCTGTACGAGTATTTGATGGAGAAGGAAGAACGTCATCACCGAGCGCACTGGGTCGATTTCGTTGGCCGTGTAAAGGCTGGAAATCGTCCTGCTCATCTATATCCAAATCTTGATCTGTCAGCTTCTGCAAAGCAAGACTAGTATGGGGCTAGTTTTATACACATCCGCTCTTGACGCAAATTTGGGTTATAATAATTTTTACAGTTTGTGATATTGCTTCAGATTTATTCATTTTTACGTTCGTAATAAATTCCTTCTTTTTAGTTCAGCGTGTAAATGAATTGTGTGTAGTAGGGAATATTGAATAGTTTTTGGATCTTCACCGGTGATTTTCTATACACGGTGATGATTGTTCAAAAACATGGTTTCGCATATCCTTTTTTCGCCTATCTGGTCAGGCAAAAGCGTTTTTTCGTGGTATCACGCTTATATAATTGCGCCATGTGGACTCAAAGTGGAAGTTGGAGATTTGACGTTTATTACAGTACCATAAATCATAGTGGTTTTTTATTCCCTAAGGCCCCGGGCAGACTTCACGCGATTTGATCGTCTCGACTGAATCGCGAGGAGACAACTGTTACAACATCATTCCATGCAGATCAACTTGCATTCGGTTGTGATACTTTTCCAGACCGAAATTTTTGAATGTGAAATGAAAATGAATGGAAATCTTGGCGATTTGGTCGCGACGATTAAGTCGCGTGAAGTCTGACCGGGGCCTAAGCTAATATGACAATTCCCGAGATCTGAAACCCATGCTATTGCTTTGAAAATATTGTAGTTTTATCAGAATGCGACCCAGTTTGGAAATCTCATAATTTGAATTGATCTCACAAAGAAGTTATGTATACGAAGCTACATAAACTACACGTAATTCTTGACTAATGAATTGATGCGATTTTTATAATAATTGCTTTTAGTTCATGCTTGCGCTTTGATTACATCTTGCTGATTATTTCGTGAACCATCATGCTGTTTTCCGGCATGATTTGAGTTTACCTGTCCCTAATCTGCTGTACTCTAAGAACCTGTTTTTTTTCTATTACACTAAGCGTGTAACTAACGCTCTAATGACTGTTGCATCTGCCAGCTGATCTTTTAATTTCTTTTTGTTTGTGCTTGAGGATATCATCCACAAAGTCGATTGATCTTGTATCGTCTTAGCAGAGCATTTAAGCACTCCGACGTGTACAATCACCTGATTATCGCAAATAATGATGTTTCAAATAATAGCCGAGCCTGATGCCAATGTTACTGCGTGATCTTGTTTGATACCAGTATTATTGAATTTTTTTTGCAAGACCCCGTAATTTTGGAGGTGAGAAATGTATGAGCAAATAGAACGAATGCTTGCTTATCAGCCAAAGGTCATAGATTGGCGGAGATGGGCAGCTATGCTGTCATACCGTGAATGGTCATCGAGTATGTCATATTTAATGCAACTTGATTTTTCTTTTGCTCAAAAACTGATTTCGAAAGCAGCTTCCACTTCTGCGACTTCCTTATCATAGAAACAGAAATAATAGTATACAAAAGTGTATAACATGATGAAATCTTATTGCTGTGTATTATGAAAATCAATTTTGCGAAACAACTATCCTAGCTCCAATTTGTTACCCTCAGAAGGAGTATAGGAACTCCGCTCTCCCAAACTCCTCGTTAAGGAAGGAAGTCCTCGAGATTCTGTGCTATTTTTAGCCCAAAAGTTCTTGGAAAAATGTCAAAATTTATGTCGTAATACAACCCAACTTATATGTTGAATCTTGCAATTTTATATGTGTGTAATAAGTGAATAATAGCAACCATAAGGAGAAAGTTAAAGATATAATGAGATATACTTGTATTTTTGTAGAAAATGTAGTTGTCATGATGTTCAGTCATTTTGAGGGAATCAGTAACTAAGCCGTTGTTAATGAACTTACTTTAGCAGTCATTATAGTAATTTTAACCTTTGCTTTATTGGCTAGAATCACAAACTTGGCCAATTTGGATCTTTTTTTTTGCAGGTTTCTTAATTCTCATTCCTCTAGTTTTCGTAAAATAACAGGTTGGCATGAAATTCTGTCGCACCATTTTCAAAAATTCAGAACTTTTGCATTCTTATCCGATTTGCCTGCTGTTACATTTGTGAAGGAATAAGTCATGTCCTACATATCAGTGGCGTAGTGGCTTATTGAACACAATTGTATGGCTAGAAAAGGCGAAAGAAAATCGTTCAATTTCGATACTTTTGTATTTAGAGGTTAAATTTGATATCCTGCAATAAAATTCAAAGCAGTCGGAAATAGATTTCAATGCCTGGTCTTTTCAAAGAAACAAGTTATGTGCTAATTGCGCGTCTCCAAGAAATGTTGCAATTTTCGGAAATGTCAAAAAACCAAATTTGTTGTTTACTGCTTGCTCAAATCATGACTTTTGTAGAGACAAATTTTAATTAGAGAGAGCAGGTAACAACATATAATACTGACTGATCCGATTTTGCTTTCCTAGAGTTTTAGATTTCCAAGATCAAACGCGGAATAGTCGAAGTTTGAGTGATTTCTCCTACAGCTTCAGTCTAGGCGATGTATGCTCACCAGTAAACCGCTAAGACTTTCTGGAATATAGGAAAAAAGTCATCAATCTTTAAAAATGGTGCGACAGAACTTCGTGCCAGCTTAATATTTGCTCCTTTTGATGACCCTATTTCAGATCAAAATGAGCTGGCTAAAGAACTTTGAGGACAATGGTTATTCTGTAGTGGAAGATGTTCTTACAGCAGATGAACTGAACGAGATGAAAAACGAAATCGACAGGATTATTGATGAAATTGATTTCAATCAGCACCCTAAAAGCGTATTTTCAACTTATGACGAGGACAAGGTGTGTTGTATCCAAGTGTGAAATTCTTTTTTATAATCATTATTTTCAGCACGCTGCTGACGACTATTTTTTGAACAGCTCCGATAAGATAAGAGTATTTTTTGAAGAAGGCGCCTTCAACAAAGATGGAGAACTTGTTGTGGACAAACATAGAGCATTGAACAAAATTGGACATGGTATGAGGTGTTTGCAGGACTAATTGAATCTAAGCTTATATCAATTAGTTTAGGACTCCATGTGAAAAACGAAGTTTTTAAACGAATGTCATTTCATCCCAAAATCAAACAGCTGTTTAAGGAAATAAAATATGAAGAACCTAAGATTGTTCAAAGTATGTATATATTCAAGGTGAGCTCTAGATATATATTTTTTTATTCACCATTGATATGCTTGAAACATTGCGTTCTCGCATCAGAAAAGTGTTTCTCCCATCGATTTCAAACTTTGTCAATTGTGGGCAATATCCAGTTGAAAATTTTTGAAAATCGCTCAATCCAAGAATTAAGAATTTCTTAGCATTCGTTGTTGCGTCTTCATATTGAAAATTTTTATGAGCAGCGTTGATTTGAACCGGCAGTTGAACAAAGAATTTTTCAAAAAATTGTTCTCTGACTATAAAAATGTTCTGAAGCATTCTGATCTTTCCTTACTACGACACAAAAGAGGTTTTTATTATATCAGGTCGTCTCCTAACGCTCTACGTTTCAGAGATCTTACTTCATTTAGCTCCTAAGTGAACTTTGATTAGAGGGAAAAATATTTCAATCGATTTTTCTGGCTTTCCAGGAAGCAAATCACAAGATAGAAGCTTAGGAAACCCACTGCTTAATTCTTCAGCAGCCTTTAGTCAGCCTTGATATGCCAAGATCGCTTTTTCTTATTCACTATAAAAAAATCCTCTCTTCAAATATTTTTTCAATCGAATGAAAGAGCTTAGTACGTCAAAGCTAACTTGTCAGATTTTTGGATGGATCGAAAACGTCAAGAAATCGCTTGTTTATTCTATTATGTCTGTTTTCTCAGCGATCATTTTAGCAACCCAAAATAGGCGGAGCTGTCACCGACCACATCGATGCTACATTTCTATATGTGGAACCATCTCAGAATCTTATTGGCATTTGGATTGCCGTCGATGACGCTACTGAAGAAAATGGTTGCTTAGCTTTTATACCAGGAAGTCATAAAAGTGAGTCGAATGACCAACTACCGGATAAGAAAAGTCTTTTGAGAGTTTTGGCTACAGAATCGTTTCAGGAACCTCCGTCGACTACCGTTTTGTGCGCACCCATAAAACTGATGGTAGCGCCTTGTTGAAATTTAACGGAACCCGTCCCACTTATGATGAAAACAAATTTGTCAATGTTCCAATCAGAAAAGGTAAGCAAGCATAGGTTGTACTCTCTATCCTTGATAATAGGTTGGATAATTAATGTTCGTTTTCCATGCAAATCTCCATAAAAATTTTCTTGTTGTTTTTTATCCTTTTTTCTTTTGAGGGAATGTAGTTCAAAGCTTCTATAAGCGAACAGATTTATTTATCAGCCAATCTAAAGATTTATGGATTTGGAGCTGCTGACATATCGCCTCTCAAAAATGTAAAATATTTAGGGTCACTTCTGCTCATCCATGGCCTTGTTGTCCATAAAAGTGCACCGAACACGTCCTTGAAAAGCCGGCATGCCTACACTTTACATGTGATGGAAGGCAAAAATACGAAGTGGAGTGAAGATAACTGGTATGTTGGATGCGTTGTATTCCTTAGGTGTCTTGGGTTAAATCGCCGAGTAGTAAAAATGTAAATAAAAAATTTATGAAAAATTCCCTTCATGTGAGTATACGTGCTTCATAGTGCAGTTGTGAAGTGAAAGACTCACTCTCTGTGCCATTTTTGTCCTTTTTTATTTCCGCGCGCTTTGCAAGGTCATTACAAAATCTTGTAAAAATTGGCATTGGTAATATTGGATTGGTAGTAGATAATAACAGATAATATAAGGTTGATTATATCTACTCGAACAGAATTTACATTTCAACTCATTGCAGTGCTTTTTCCAGAGAGATGCCATCCTAATAATATTAGGTTGGCTAATAAGTAATATCGGTCTTTTTCTGGCTCCTACAAATGCTGCAGACAACCTTTTTGTCAGATGTCTGGTATTTCTGGAAAGAGCACTGCAGTGAGATTTTGGACGTTAATTCTGTTTGAGTAGAATTCATTTCCCAAGAAAAAATGATGCAAACAAGTGAGATATCCCAATTTTCTTACTGTGAGCGAATGTGAGAAAATTTCGTTTTCTTATACCAAGATTCAAAATGGCAGAGCACAGTCTTTATTGCAATTCACTAGATAAAAAATTGCATGTATCAAAATATCAATTTATTCGTCTATACATTCAGCACAGGTTTAAAACGGTGCCTAGAAAGTCAAAGAACTGAGTTTTTGGGAATTTCAGTTATATTGAGGTATAACCTTAGACAGTAAAGAATCCTGAGTAGTTGATAAGTGATAGAAGAAGCTTCGAGTTATCTCCCCTCCTACAATCTTAGATAAAAAACAACAAAAAAGGGTTTTTAAGGAGACTTGCGTGTACGAACTTCTCTTTCAGCCAACCTGGTGCTAGACTGTTATTTTTTTTGAAGGATGAGTGGAGATGGCATCATTGTTTATCTACTCACTGTTTCCATTATCAGCATTAGCGCTAAACATGCTAGAAAACCAGAAAGAACATTCCGACTGCCCTCAAATATGTGTAACTCGATATAGGTGGCATTTCAGAATTTTGAAAACGATGCCCCTTTGAAGCCAAAATTTCTTACGATTTCCCCTTTGACCCTATTTTTGACCCCCGTAAGTCCCTGACAAACAGATATACACAAAATAAGATGGGCGGCCTCAGCGCTTATTATAGTAGTACTACCTGGCTTTCCTGGTCCAGCCCGGGTCATCGTTTGAGGGATGGCCAAAAACCACACTTTGTCCTTCTACCTCCCCGTCTTTTGGGCCATATTCTCCACCCCTTTTCTGCAGTATCAATACTACACTGCAGCCCTCCCCCTTACCCTCCTGCACGAGCTTACCCCAAAAATGCTTATTGGAGTGACTGCACCTTCTAATTTTAAAGTGGAAATGAACTTCACTGCATTGTTCACACCAAAATGTGCAAGCAGTTTGTTAGCGGCTGGTAAGTGTTCACTTTCCTTGCAAGGTGCCAAACATTAAATCGATAGAAGAGTTCCACGAATTGCTTCGAAGGGTAGCTTAAAACCATCTACCGAGGCCGAAAACATATGTTTTCAAGGTTTCAGCTCAATGGGTTCATCCGCAGGAATCTATAAAAAACATAGGGTCAAGATTTACACAAACTTTGACGTTTATATATCTAAGATACTAGTCATTTAAAACTTTACAATTTACAATAACCGATTGCGATTGGAGCGCGCTTTCCGAGGCCGATCATAACGCTGTGAACCCTATTTGGGGCTGTATCGAAGCGGTGCCTTGGTGGTTTTGGAAGCGGATTTGAACATATAGTAATATAGACCTAGTCCACATTTATGTAAAGAAATCCGGGAAATTATGTGGAGGGAAGCAGGGAGCCACCCTAGGTTGCTCCCAGGTGGCGCGGGAGCCACCTAATTTCGAAAAACACTTACCATTTTTTTGAATTCACATAAGTTTCTCATAATTCTTCATACTTTTTTTGTGCTCATCGTCCTCCAACTATACAGCAAATTTGGTGCCATATCGTTACTTGTGCATTGAAAACGTGTGAAAGCGCCACCCCCGCCGGGCCCTGGCACACAGCGCGACAAACGACAGCTCCCTTTACTAGCATTTTCTCAAAAAACCTTTTCTAAATCAGTGTAATGACTAATTTATATTCGATCAAATCAAAACAGACAGGGAAACAAGGGAAATCACTGGGAATGAGCAGGTTCTAACACAAAGGCCGTCAAGTAGCGCGCATGGCGTGTAGGACACATTAATTTACCTACTCGACAATAGATGAATATTTTACCTTCGTCTGAATGTTGAACGGATTCGAGACAAAGATTGGAGCTTTGCGAAGACCCCTCGTAAAATGAAACCTTCGTTCTTCTTTTGAGGTTGTCACTAGCTGTGAAAAATGATGGAAGAAGTAAAATGATGCCCATCCCGCAAACTCATAATTCTTAAACCAGCTGTTGATTTTTGAAATTGGGGTAAAGAAGCTTATGCTTTTATCAGGGATTTTCTGCGCGTACATCTGCAACAAACCATGCTCTTCCTCACATTACAACCTTGTGTCAGCTGTTCAGCCTATAGGGTACATACGCCTTTCACTTCAAAAAGGGCAGATAATGCTCACTTCACATGGCTCGCCTGTAAAGGAAAAAGTGGAGTTTGGGAATGAGCCGCTTTGCGCAAGACTGTATTTTTCGGACTGTATAAATTATCAGCTTATTTCCTATAACTTCCGATAATTGGTTTGAAACTAATTGGCGGAAGTACCGGGGGGATCCTTTCAGTTTACCTGCCCAATTATAGCAAGCCGGATTAAAAATGTCATCAACATAAACTACACTCTGTTTGATAGTCCAGTCTGTTTGATACCTTATTGTGAAGTTTTGAGGTTTCCATTTGAAAAGTGCGTGGTGTTCTTACTTTTTCATATGCATTTAATCATACATATTAATTGCTGTTATTGTAATGGCTTTTTCAATACGAGAAAAGTACATAAGATATTCGTTTTTTTTTAGGCTACAAGAAACGGAAACCTACAAATTTCCAAGGCTGTACTGAAAGATTGCTTATTCGCTGTTTCATCGTTCCAAATGTGCATGTATCCTACGATATTGGAACTGATATAAGACTATGTCAATGTTGTATAAAATCATAATATTGACACAAGTGCTCTTTCTTGAGTTCCTACGATAACGTGATATTGATAAGCATACTCGGAGAAGTTTTATTTCCATGCAATAATGAATTAGCAAAATGATCTTGAAAATACTCAGGTGTCGATAAGATTGCGAGGATAAAATGTGTACATTTTTTGAATGACCATAAATTCCTATATCATGGTGAATGAGATGCGCTTGTACATGCATACGATACAGATTTTCTCCATTCAACAGATATTACATTATCAACCCAAAATTCTCTGCATACTTCCAGAATGCTGAAAACCTCCATCGTCATTACATGCTTAAACTTCCGTTTATTTTTTCAAATTCTCATTTTCTACCACCGAAAAAGGGTAGATATTAGTCAAGTAGAGCAATTCTTTTTCTACACACAACTGCCTTCATCTTACATCATATTCTTTGAAGCTCTCCATTTTTGTTAAGGTAAAAATACAAAATACACGGCTAGAGCAAAAACATTGAAGCTTTTGGAGGTTTTTGAGACTTGTTTAACAATAACTATCATTTGAAATTGACTGATATTAACCATCTTTTGAATAACTGAGTTTGTTTGCTTCAAAACTTGATTTCTTGAAATTCCGCTATGGTTACGCGAGACACGTATTAGAAAAAACTGAGTTTTTTTCAAGATAAATGACTCCAGAAACTGCATAAATGATCTAACAAGGGAACGATCCCAACTTAAGGTGGCGAATTGAAATAAACCGCATACCATTAGATGCGTCTTGATGAGCTGATTCCAAATCTACCTTCCTTATCTGCGACAACCCTATCTGAAAGAAGTTATGAAAGGTTAAAAATGTGAAGTAATGGGGGTTTCGATGCATAATTCGCTTCAAAATCCAACTTGGGAGTGTATGACTAGCATGGTATTAAGTGTACTGATTTCAAGGAATGCTCACACTCTAAAGAAACACAAATAAGTGTTTTTGGACAACTAATTTTCGAGGTATTGCGCTGTATATTTGCCAAATTTGGACTTTTCCTTGCTCATAGCTTTTACCAAAGAACTTTAATTGCTTTTTAGCTGTTCAGAAACATATATTTGCGTTTCTATTGAATGTGAGTATTCCGTGAAACCAGTACACTCAATATGGTGCTAGTCGTGCGCTTCTAAGTTGGATTTTAAAGCAAATTATGCATCAAAATCCCCGCTACTTCACATTTTTAACCTTTCATAACTTCTTCCAAATAACGTTGTCGCAGATAAGGAAGGCAGATTTGGAATCAGCTCATCAAGACGCATCTAATGGTGTGCGGTTTATTCCAATTCGCCACCTTAAGTTGGGATCGTTCCCTTGTAAGTAATCTGAAATGAACTCCATGTAGCAAAGATTTACTATGTGATAGCTACCAACGCTCTCTGAAATGCGGAATGAGGATTTCCACGAGTCAAGGAAGAGCTAGCGTTTTTTTGATAATGTAGTGCCGTAGCGAAACTTGGCAGAGTCTGCGCAGTTGGTGAAAAAAAAATAATTGTCAGAAAGTAGGAAACAGATGATTTGAAGAGCACCTAGTTTGTTCCTCGGTGGTTGTTCTGGTGAGCGACGAAATAAAGACGAATGTTTCTGAAGACGAACTGATAGTGTCTCTCGGGTTTTGCCAAATTTTTAAACAATCATAAAGCCTCGTATGGTGACGACCAAAGAGCTTTGAACACGCATTAGTAATGAGTATGATATCCAGGGTCAAGCGTGGGGTGTGGCACGCCACACCTCAGGGGTCGTAGAGGGGTTAGATAGAGGGGGGGGGGGGTTGTCGAGGTCGTTGTCGAGGTGATAGTGATGTTAGCGACATTATGTCATTCAACAATGTCTGATAGGCCCATTCTACAAAATACCAGCGCTGATGTCTTGGCCTACCGTCGTACACACACTTTCGTAATTAGCATGTCGAATAACCTCTGAGAGCCAATCAGCGAATTTTGAGGTTTCCAAATATGTCGAAAATGACCACCTCACTCAAGTAAGGTGTCATTTTCGACATGCTAACTTTGTTTCAAAAGTGAGTAAGCTATCCTAATTTCACGCATATAAGACGCACCTTTTTCGGTTTTTCGAGCGTCGCTCAGGCACCTCAATGTGTTTCGGAAAACGAGATTTATGCCGCACGATACTCTCAGACAATATGCAGCACTGTAAATAATTTTTTGCTCACGAAGTCCTTCGGCGTGTCTGTGGTGTTTGATTTAAAAAAATCTCCGGCATCTTATACGCATGAAATTAGGGTACTTCTTTTCGCGCTCATTACAAGATACTACTACTTCTTTGCTCGTATTAGGAATCCCACTTCAACTAACTTCCAAACTCTGGGACTAAGAGCAAGCCAATATCTCGCTTGTCCCATTTTTCGCTTTCAATTTCTCAAAATAGAGAAGACCAATCAGGCTCAAATCACTTTCGTGAAAGTTACGAGGATCAGGCTATCAAATACACTTGTTCTTGCCGCATTCTCTCGCGATTCACTTAGTAGCACAGACGACATATCACCGTAATCCAATATTTTCTCAGTGTTTTCCATTTGTTTAGCTAAGGAAAAACGACTATATCTTTTCCTAGGAGAAACAAATTTGTATGAAATTCCTGCTATGTGGAGAAGAAGGTTTAGCAGTAACAAACGTATAAAAAGACAGATTTGAGTGTGAAGGTAAGTTAATGGGTGTGGCACACAGGGCCCGGCACAGATGGTTCGCGGTTGAACTGGACTTTATTTTTGAGGTTTAAAGCGACGGGGATATCGTTTTTATAAGGTCCTGAGCGAAGTACCAAAAAAAAAACAACAAACATGCCAGATTTTATGAGTTGAACGTGTTCTGTGGCAAGCGCGCGAATTTCAAACGTAAGACCCGAACAAACAAATGGCTTGTTTACAGCGCACAAACACTCACATGGCACAGAACTTGGACTATATGTATGCAATATTACTCCAAACTAAATTATGTAAAAAGTTTCAAAAACTTATGTGTCCTAATACAGTCTTTTCCAACCCGGAATAGGCGCAACATTCCTAGTGGAGCAGCGCATTCGCACCGCCACTGGCCTAGCGATATAGAATAAAATGAAGAGACGTAGATTGCAAGACGGCGCGAATCGTTGCGAAGCGGACTCCCGCCAGTCCAGTTTCCGCCCAAACCGAGTTGAAACTCACTATATCCGTTCCCGGATTTGTTGGTTTCTAGACCAACACCAAACAAACTGGGTTGTTTCGGAGCATCAATTTCGGAGCGTTCACATAAGTTTTGGACCTTTTTGATTTGGACGAAGAGAACGCTCCAAAATCTATCACATAGCGAAGAGAGCGAATCAAAGCACTGCTTCTCCTCTATTTTGGAGCCAAAAATAGTGTAAACCAAAGCATTGATATTTATCGCCTTCCGATCACACGCGGTGTTCTTTGAACTATGTGGCGAAAAATGCATCGCCAGATTGTTGAGGTCACAGATTTGGTTGGCCTGCGAGGTTTTCAACGTTCTGAACACTAAAATGGTACCATACTCTAGAATTGAATCGACTCAGAATGTTTTTTCTCTTTTTTGTTATACTAGGTACCTCAAAACTCGCTTTTTTCATTTTTTAATCGTTATGTTTTGTTATGTTGATTGAAAAAGGGTTTCCCTACTGACTTTTACATAAAAAGGGACTTCGTAAATTTTCGCCGAATTCATAGGGACTTCGTCTCCAAAAATGCTCCAAACCAACGCGCGCCGGGCCCTGGTGGCACAACGGCACCAGGGCCCGGCGGTTACAGCTTTTTAGGGGTTGTGCCACGCCCCATTGACTTGCCTCCAAAAAGAATTTTGGCGAATCAGATACATATAGTTTGATAGACTGCGTATTGTAGTTTTTATAGGAGTAGTTTGGGCCTGATGCATCTTTTTCGCTCTAGTAAAAGCTGGTGAAAGCGCTGCCACTAGAAGCGAAAAATGGTACAAACGAGATTTTGCCCTGCTTAGTTCCATAGTTTGATGGTTATTTTGAGCAGGATTCATGGTATGGGAGAAGGGAGTAGGGCTTTGTATTGAGTAGAAAAAGTTAGCTAATTCACTTCTGAAATATGTTAATCATCTTCGAAAATGTTCACTTTACTTGGGGTGGTCCAATACCATATATTGGGAATCCTCAGAATTTGCTATTGGCCCATGGCGGTTATTTGAATGATAATTACGAATACGTGCCTAATTATGCATGATAGGGCCTTTATATCGTGCCTACGAGAAGATGAGGGGCAGGCGTTATGGAGCAAAGCAGCGCCGCATTCCCCTGCGGTATATCCTGAGGGCCAATTGCGTTGCGTCGCCTTTAATTGCAGCCAAAGGAGTACACCGCTTCTGATAGCGAATCTTATTGTTACGCCTTGAGAAGATGTCCAAACTGCATGAATGCAATAAATATATTCAAAATCGGAAAATTGATGGATTTTACGGATGCAAAGCCTGAATCTGGATGAGAATGAAAGACTGATTTTAACTGTAACATGAGAATCAATAGAGAAAAGCGACAGAACTTTTTTGTTATCAACTTTCCAAGCTTTTACTTTCGCTTGGGTGATGATTTCAAACACTTCTTCTTCAGAAGCTATTTTTTAATCCTCAAACTTCCGCATTTTGGTCTCTTTACAGAAGAAAATTTCGAGAATGACTTAATCCGCTGGGTAACCGTAGCTCCTCTGCGGGTGCAATTAGGAGCGACGCAACCAAAGGGCCCTCAGGATATACCGCAGGCGAATGCGGCATAGCTTTGCTCCATAACGCCACGCCGCCCGAGAAGATGGGGGGGGGGGGGGGGGAAGGGTGTTGAGACAGAGGATAGGTGGGGGGGAGGGGGGGAGGTCGTATTCGGCGCTTTTGTGCCACACCTCTTGCTCGACCCTAATGATATCCTTTCTGATGATTATGTTTATAAACCAAAATCTATGGATTCGATATAATTGCAATGCTTCAGACTATC